GTCCCTGGGCACCAGCTCTCATCCGTCTTGTTCATGGCATCTGGCACCATGCCCGGCATAAATGTGGAGCCTTTGAGGGAATGAATGGTGCTGGGGCTGCGTCCTTGGCATTGGGCTGAGTGAGCACTATCCTTACAAGTGCCCTGGGGCATGGGGATATAGTCACTCCCATTTCTCAGATTAGGAACTGAGCCTCTGAGAGCTAAGCACGAGACCACACAGCTAAACAGTGTGAGGGCCACGTCTCAAACCCAGGGAGCCTTTGCCATCAAAAGTCTGTTCTCTCCACTCCCCGGGCTGCCTCTCCAGTGTGCACACTCTCTGACTCAGGGTCTGGTTATCTTCAAGCCCACACTCCTTTCTAACAATCACTGAACTGTGTTTGACAAGCTGTGGGTTCCTTGGGGCGGCAGCCGTATCTCTCTCCTCCCCACGTGCCCCTTGGCTGCCAGCACAGCCCTTGAACACAGGAGGTGCTCCAACCATGTTTGGGGGATTAATTTGTTCACGCCGGCTCAGGCTTCATGCTTTGCTGCCTGCACAGTATGGGGGTCGTTTACAACTTATAAAAGAAGTGGAAAGGATATTTATTACACCACCCCTCCCTGTGCAGAGTCAGAGCTATCTCCCGCAGCAGGACCAATGCCTGCCCCGAAACTCGCTCCTGAAGCACAGAAGAGAGCTGTTGTCACATGGGGGCCAAGGCCACAGGTGTCACCTGGGCAGGGTTAGACCATGAACGCCCCTGCCCCAATTGGTCCCAGGAAGGAGAGAAGACAGGAAGCCGTGAGGGTTCTGTCCATGGTGCTGAACTCGCCTCAACGCCCACCTTTTTCTCTAACCCGGCAGCAACTTAAGAGCCTCTTGGGGAACCAGCTAAAAATACAGATTCCCTGTCCCCTTCTTTGGGGACTTGGGTTCTGAGGATCTAAGGTGGAGCCCTGAAGTCTGTTTTTCCAAGCACTGTGATTCTAATACAGCCAGCTTGGTACTGGCCTGAGGTTGACTCACTCACCTAGTCATTGATCTTCATAAAGCGCCTGCTGTGTGCCCAGCCCTGTGCCAGATAATGTGAGGCACAGAGGTGCACTGAGCAGGGTCTCTGCTCCGGGGGGAGTTTACAAAGTCATTCAGGAGGAGATGCAGGGGGGGAAGCAGGGAGAGTACTGCCTCTGTTTTAGGTGGACACTGTGCCAGGTTCACACTTCACCTTTGTCCCCCAAGATGAGATACACAGGTACTTGAAAACAGTTGTACTCATAACCATAACTAACATTTGTATCTTTCCTTAGGGTCTCCCTAGCCTCATCTGCAAGGCAATGTGTCATGCCTTCTGCTACTTCTGACCTCCTCATGGAGGGTGGGGCTTGCACCAGATTCCCCTGTGCAGCCTCAAACACAGGAACCCCACCCCCAGAGGAGGTGAGCAGTGAATTCCTACTGGATGGATGACTAGGGGGAGTGGCAAGTGGGCAAAGAATGCGCCCAAGGACTGTGCCCAAGGAAAGTGCTGCTGGGTATACAAAGCAGCTGGGACAAGCACTCAGAACTAAAAGAAATCCGTGTGGGCCTCAGAGAAATCAGGTAAGAAGCAAAATGCAAACCAGGCAGGGGCCAGCTTCCTGTCAAGGTCTGCCTCTCCTTTCTCTGGGTGTTTGGGGAGAGCAGGAAGTGGAGTCAGGACAGCCGTGGCTGATGAGAACAGATGTTCTCCGGGCCTGAATGTGGGGCATGGAGGAGGGGACGGGAGAGGGAGAAGGGAACAGGGGAAGGGGGAGGGCCATGGCCAGCAACATGGAATATCCACAGACCCTCTTTATTTATTTAATCTTACTTTTTATTAGGGAAATTTTCAAACACACACCAAAGTAAAAGGAAGAGCATCATGAACCCATGTGCCCCTCCCCCAGCTTCAACAACCATCTCATTCTGCCACTCATCTCATTCCTCTCCTCAAGCACCTTTTCAAAGAAAATTCTAGGTGTTACATCATTTCACCCATAAATACTTCAGAATATGTCTCTTACATAGAAGATTTCTATAGAAAAAAAAACCCTCAATATCATTATCACCCCTAACAAAATTAACGATTTCTTAATACCATTTAATACAAAGTCCATGTTCAAATTTCCTCATTTTTCTCAAGAATATCTTCTTAGGGTCCCTTTATATGAATCAGGATCTAAATAAGGTCGATGCCTTGCATTGCGTTGCTCTGTCTCTTAAATCTCATTTACTCTCTGGCAGTCCTTCCTCCCTTCCTTCCTTATGTCATTTTACGTGTTGAAGAAACCAGGTCCTTTGTCCTGTAGAATTGTCCTCATTGTCAATTTGGTGGGTTGCACCCTCATGGTGTCATTTAACATGTTCCACTGTCCCCCCTATTTCCTGGAAACTGGGATTTAGATCAAAGGGTTGATCTGTGTAGGGTCAATATTTGGGCAATATTCCTGGGCGGCGCTGTGTCCTTCCAGTGCATGCGATCAGGAGCTTTTAGTCTGACTTTCCCTTTTAGGGTGAAACTGAAAATCAGCAGTGCCCCCAGCCCGATCCCTCCATTTTGAAGCTCCCCAGTCACCTTGCGCCCAGTGGTTTTAGCACCTTTTGTAGAATCTTAGAACTGACAGAGCTGGAAGCTCTGAGAAACCCATTCACTCGCTTCTCTATTCATCCCACAAATATCTGTTGAGCATCTGCTGTGCACCAGGCAGAGAGTCACAGTGAGCAGAAGCGACACGTCCCTGGGATCATGGAGCCGACAGTCAGATGGGGGCAGCAACAAACACACACACGAGTAAGCTGATGCACCAACAAGAGCCGTGCCTGCCTGTGAGGGTTAGAGCTATGCACAAGCTCCCACGGAGTGAGATGACGGACAGTGACCCCTGTCAGGTGGCTGCTTTGTGACGGGTGATCGGGGGGGGGGGGGGGCATCCCTAGGAGAGGACAATGGAGCTTGACAAGAACAAGCCAGCCATGCAGAAATGGGGGTGCATCCCAGGGAGAGGGAAGAGCTGGTACAAGCAGAGAACCTGGGCACCCGCCAGGAGGAACAAGGAGACCCATGTGGCCGGAGCCAGTGAGCAAGAGGGAGGGGCCTGAGGGGAGGCAGCGAGGGGGCTGCTGTGGTACCGTGGGCGAGACTGGCAACGGCTCGGACCTGGCTGGTGGGGCGGAGGCAGCGGCCAGTCCACCCCTTTTACAGCTGGGAACACTGAGCTCAGAGACAGCAGGGAGGTATTGCTATTGAGCAGCTGCCCGCGCCAGGAGCTCTCTGTGTGGTGTCCCGATACGACTCCGATCTGCCGAAGTCATTGTGCCAATTTTACAGGTGAGCCCGGTGAACAGTGAAGTCACCTGCCCAAGGGCACAGAGCCCAGGCCCAGCGAGGCTCTCCAGCCCTGCAGAGTCGTCCCACACTGAGATGACCTCTGCAGGTCAAATCTTGGCTCTGCCACCTATAAGCCCTGTGACCTGGACCACAGGCCTTCTCCCTCTTTGTGCCTCAGTTTCCTAATCTGCAAAATGGGAACAACACTTGCCCAAGGGGCATAGCAAGGCCAAGACAGGGCGATCCAACATTGACCCCCCGCCAGCCGCTGCCTGTGGGGCCCACAAGGGTGATCTTAGCACAGACTGCACGCAGCTTCACACACACCCTCTCATGCAGACTCACGAAGGGTTAAACCCAGACTCCCTCCTTCCTCCCTCCCAACTCCCACCCTTGCTGACTCTGCTCCCTCTCCCAACCAGAGCTATTCTGGGACAATGGAGGCAGCAGATGGCCCGAGTCCTGTTCCCTCCACCCGACCCTCAGGATCTGGGAACAACCCGCAAATCTGCTGCTGCTTCTAAAAGCAGGCTGGCCGGCAGCCTCCCACGTCCAGGGTGGGGAGGACAGGACAGCAGCTGGGGTGCACGCCATTCCCTCCCTCACTGGCTGCAGGGCCAGGGGCCACCCCACTGGGCTCGCGTCCCACACACCCAGCAGTAGGTCAGCCCAGAAAGAAAGGGGGGCTTTGGAAGAGCCCAAGCAGCCCAGCTCTACAGCTGACCCACTGTGTGACCACAGGCACGTGGTGGTCCCTCTCTGAGCCTCAAGTTCCTCCTGGAAAACAAGGGCTGAGACTCTGGTGATCCACAGTTCCATTGTCCCAGACAGAGTTGCGGCCGGGACAAGGTCCTTCAAGGGCTAGGGGACGTGCTCCAGAGCAGCCCCCAGCTCCGGCTGCCTTGGTCAGAGCCCCTCCCCCCAGCCACGAGCCCAGCTGTAACCCCAACTTCCAACCTCACTGGGCATGAAGGAGGCGGGGAGAAGAGACCGCCCATCGCTAACCCTCCCCCGATGCACCACCAGGCCTGAAATTTCACCAACATCACTTTCATTCATTCACCCAACCTCTCTGGGACCTGAAATCCCAAGAACGCTCTCATTTCTTCAGCTCCTACCTTGGCTGTCAACTCGCCCCTTTATCCGACACCAGAGGCTGAATCCCTCAGCTCCCAGCCTCCATCCTGCCTTCCCTGGTTCTTTGACCGCCACCCACAAGGCCCTGAGGGCAGAGGAAAGGAGGAATAGCTCCCAGCCCACCAGCGCCTCATGGCACACGTACTCACACACATGTACATACGCACATATGTGTGATAGGCACAAACACACACGCCACACACGCATCCTTATGCATAGACACGTGTAGGAAGGTACACGCCACACACACGCACACACCCTCACACACCTGGCACACTGCGACACAAGCACACACTAACAGTCACCGTTCACTGACTCCCTCCTTTCTCCGTGCCAGCTCTGTGCTGTGCTGGTTACAAACACTTCATCACTTCACCCACATAGCAACCCATGAAGCTGGTGTTCCTCTTCTCATCCACAGAATGGGCAACACCCCTAAAAGTGACCACCATCCCCACTGTGACAGACAGATCAAAGACGCTGCCCCAGTCAGGACCCTGCAGCTGCAGGTAACAGGAAACTGGACCCCGAGCAGCTTCAACAAATAAAGGTTTAATTTTCTTACAGAACCAGATGCTGAAAGGGACAGCTGCAGATGAGTATCTTGGCCTTTCCTTCACGGCAGCAAGGTGGCTGCCCCAGATCCAGACATCACACTCACATTCACAGCAGGAAGATGGGGTAGGGACCGCAAAACCTTCCCCAGAAGCTTCTCTATTGGCTTTGCTCAGCTCACACTAACAGACAGAGTCTGGCCAGAGCTGGTAGTGCCTAACAGCAAGGGAGGCTGGGAAAATGAGCAAAAGGATCATCGTGATTTTCTGGGACCCACTGAGCCATCATCTGATTCTGGGCATGCTGATGCTTCAGACGAAATTGGGTTCTGCTAGCAAGGCATGGGGAGCAAGGAGCTGGAGACTGGTCAGCAACGACAGAAGCTGCCGCAGGCCCTGGGTCCTGTCATTATTCCATCTGGTTCCCCTCAGTGGTTGGGGATCCAGCCAAGGAAGCCAGGGGTGGGGGGCCCAGTGCTTGACCCCAGGGGAATGACTCAGAGACGAGAGCTGGGAGCAGAGGCCAGACCCCACCCAGGGGCCCGTGAGATGCTCTGGAGGGTTAGGACTCCGGAGCCCCAGCCCCGCTCAAGGGGCTGGTTCAGTTGAGCCACCCAAGGCCCAGGGACGCCCAGCCCCTGGGACCTCTCTGGCCCTCACCTGTCCCTGCGCTGTCCAACCCACCTCCCAGAGCTTGAGATGTCTTCACCACCAGCCACCATCCAATCCTCGGCTTGCCCACCACTCGGAGGCCCTGCCAGGGACTGCCCACCCCAGGGCGCTTGCCACAGGCCCTCAGGGCTGCCTGGGGAGGCAAAGGACAACCAGAGACCTCAGCCCAGCAGTTGAGGCTTCATCGGGCCACCAGCTGTGGGCACCAGGGAGTATCTGGGTAGAGGAGACAATGGAGGGAGCGAAACCTGTGGAGAGACCAGAAATGGACAAGACAGCCAGTCCCACTCCCGTCCTCGCCCCCACGGGCCCCTAGGGCTGCACATCACAGGGATGGTTTGGAGCAGGTTTCCTCCACCTGAGCACTGCTGACACTCGGGGCCAGATCACTCTTTGCCATGGGGCTGTCCTGTGCATTGTAGGATGTCTGGCAGCATCCCTGAACTCTACCCACTAGATGCCAGGAGCACCCGCCAAGTCGTAACAATAAAAAATGTCTCCAGACATTGCTAATGCCCCTTAGGGGGCAAAACGGCCTCAGGTTGAGAACCACCGGTTTAGAGAGACTTCAAAGGCCAGAGAAGCCATGAAGAGACCTCAGCTGAGGCCAGATCATCTGACCACACACATCTGAGTCCCCGTTTGGCTCCAGCCTCATTAGGCAGGAACCTATGGCTTCTAGAATCTTCAGGCTTAGAGAGAACTTAACATCACTTCTCAAACCTCTTGGCAGTATAGCCATAGCTTGCACACCTCCACTGATGGGGAGCTCACCCCATTAGAAGGCAGCTCCTTTCATCTTGGAAATTTGAATATTTTTTCCTATAATGAGCTAAACCCTGTCTCCTTGTAATGTCCAGCCTGTTCAACATAGCCTTGGCCCCAGGGCCCTTGAAATAGTTGTGAGCCTTCTGCCCCAGGACAGCTCTGCAGAACTCCAACGCCAGGAGTCCTGGTTCCCCCAGGGTTACATACTTCAGGCAAATCCAAAGTCCAGACAGAGCCTATAGGGCCGTGTGGAGGGGGTCCCCTGCCATGTCCCCAACTGAATTTGACACCACCCTCCTCCCTAATTCAGTCACACTGGCTTCCTTTACTTCGTGAGCAGGTCTTGGTCACTCCTGCTACAGTGTGTCACAGGCTGTGCTCCAAGCTGCTCTACAGCAATGGGGGGCTGAGCTAAACAGCTCTAATCTCCCTGTGGCCAGTTTGGGGGCAACCCGGAAGGTGCCTGGGTGGCATCTTAGCCCCCATTGCTCCTCTACCCACCAAAAAGAACCATTGAAGAAGGAATCAAGAAAGCAAAGAGCCCACGAAGATCAAATAAAAACTCCCCATCGGCACCTGAAGCTCCTCCATCAGAGAGGCCTCCTTCCCTCAGTGAAGACATTTCAGTCTTCCAGCAGTTTCTGAAGAATCCCAGGGCATCAGGGCTGGGAGAGCCCTTCAGCTCCACAATGCTCAGGCTCCCTGTGTTCCAGATGGGGAGACTGAGGCCCAGAGAGAGCTAGGCACTCCCCCAAGGTCACCCAGCAAGCCAGTGGCTGAGCAGAGACTGAAATCCACTCCCTCCACTGCCAGCTCTGTGCTGTCAGCCACCAGGCGCTCTCTCTTTCCCGCCTCCTGGCACCCCCATCCTCGGATGCCTGGACTCAGCCCCCACTCCTCCCATCCTACAGTTTCAGCCCCCAGACCCACCTGGAGGGGTCCTCCTCGGGGGAGAAGGGGCCCTGTAGCTTAATGACGTTGAGCTTCCCCTCGAAGACGCCGTAGCTGAGGGTGACCTGGGCAAGGAGAAGCAGAAAAGAGAAAGAAGGTGGGGAGGCATCCCCCGGGGACCCCACAAGGGGACAGCGTTTGCAGGCAGCAGAGAAGGCACACAGGCATTGTGAGGGCACAGGAAGCCCTGTCTCTGTGCCGAAAACTCCTCAGCCGGGGGTGCGTCACTGCCCATCCCCGAGGCATTCGAAGCCTGTGGAGCATGTTCATGCCCAAACCCCATCTGTGCCCCACAGTCCAGCCCACCCTGGAGGCTGGGACGATTCAAGAGGGAAGGCACCTTTCCAGGACGTTCTGGCCTAGAAGGAGGTTTCCTGAAACTCGGAGGGGTTTTGGCCACTCTCTCCCCACCCAGAGCGCCAGGCTGCTCCGCAGGCAATGAGGACGCGGGATAATGACCCCAGCTGAGTGGCAGTCAAGCACAGTGGTTAAAGCCTGTGGGCTGAGGGGCCACCCAACCAGGGTTCAAATCCTCCGCTGCCCTGTACCAGCTGTGTGTCATGGTTAGGCCCACGCTCTGGGCCTCAGTTTCCCCATCTGTAGAATGGGTTTAGTATCCACCTCGGGTGAATGTCGTGAGGAGCCAGACAGCTAAAGAAGATAAGGCCCCCAGTGTGGTGCCTGGCACAGCGGGTGCTCTGAAAACCCCAATCATTAGGGTGCCCTGGGCTTGGCTACCCCAAATCCGCCCCGCTTTCCTGGCTTCATGCCCCGAGGTCCCAACAGGACCAACCCCACAACCTCAGTTCCAAGCCTGGCCAGCGTGACGGGCCGGCCTTCCTGAGAGTGCGGCGGGGGAGGGGGGTGGGCAGAGGGAGAGGGGATGGTCTGAGCACCCAGACCCAGCTGGATCTGGCAAGTCAAGCCAAGCCCTGGGCTCCTCAGGTATGCGGGCCCATAAAGGTCCTTTTTGGTTTAACCAGTCTGTGACGCCTCTCTGTCGCCGGCAGCAAAAAGAGTTCTGACTCACATGGTTGGGCGGAAGATCCCAGGGGCTTCCCAGCCGGGACCATCTACAGGGCTGCAAACCCACGAGCGGCATCCGCAAGGCAGCGCCAGGTGGGCCTCGGCAGAGTCATTCCCTGCCAGGTGGGATGGGGCCCCACCCCTCCCCCAGCCTGACATTAAGCCTGAGAGACCTCACTGAAGACCCGGTCCTTCCCAGAAACCCCAGGTTAGAAGGACAGCAGCGAGCAGCGGACAGGTGAGGTTTGATGCAGGAGGCGGCTGCCGCCCGACACTGCTGGAAAGGGCAGGCTGGCCCCTTCAGAGGGACGTAGGGAGGATGGATGACTGAAGACTGGAGAGAGGGACAGGAGGTACAGGGGGAGGGGACCAGGGTGGCGTGAACCTGAGGACAAGCTTCATCTGTCTGTGCAGGTCCTTCCAGCTGGAATTCGGGAAGCAGAGCAAAGAATTTTAGCATCACAAATGCCAGCCCTTGAGGGTTAATGGTGGAGAGGGCTGAGTCACTGACCTTAAGGACCTGAAGGGGATCCTTTGCCACCCTGGGCCTCAGTTTCCCCATGAATAGGGGATAGCCCACACACGCGTCTCCCCCACTGCCACCTGCCCCAAGGCCAGCTCACCTGCTCCGGGAGCTGGGCCGCCCCCAGCAGCTGCAGGGTCTCCAGGTGGGAGTGGAAGAGGGGGCTGGGCTGCAGGCGGCCGCCCAGCTTGCACTCAACGATGTAGCCCACAGTGCAGTCGTCAGGCAGCCGGATGAGCGCAGATGTGTCCACGAAGCGGGGGCCACTGAGGGACAGAGCCGCGCTGTGGCCACTGGCCCAGGACCTCCACACCTAGAACCCTCCCTGGCCCCCAGAAGGCCCACCCTCCACCCTGGCCAGCTGCAGACCAGAGCTGGGCTCTAGCATCTGCCTCTTGCATACTGTGGGACCTCAGCAAGTCACGAATTCAGGGAGCCTCAGTTTCCTCTTCTGTGAAATGGGCATGATAGCCCCGCCCTCCCAGGGCTGGTGTGAGGATTTACAGGAGGGCTGATGAGGTGAAGCCCTTTATTTATGGGGACATATGTATAGCTCCCTTCCTTTTCATTCATTCACTCACTCCTTCATTCATTGCTCAGCTGGAGCATCTGCCTGGTGCCAGATACCAGCTAGGGCTGAGGACACAGAGATGAGAAGAAACACTTCGTGCCATCAACAGCAGCCCCCCTTCTGGAGGGAGACAGACAGATGAGCAGGTCGTTTCAGAGGAGGACTGGCGCCAAGTCAGAGGGAAGCAGAGGCCTGAGGGACACAGGGAAGGAAGGGACACCTTCCCAGAGGAGGTGGCAGCCTTTCGATTTGCTTTGTATTTAATCGTGACAGTGGCAGTCTATAAAGAGTCCTGCAGGATGAGCCAGGAGTCAAGGGGGGAGGACAGTGTCCCAGGCAAGGACATCACTTGACTGCACTGAGAGCGTTAACACCCCTGGGGGCCTGACTGGGCAGTCTCCCCGCTGCTGCCCAGGACGGCTGGCCGAGGGGCCGAGGGGTGTGGAAACCCACCTTCACTGCCCTCCCCAGCTGCATCTGCCCACACGAGGTGCCTTTTTCTAATTCACACAAAGGTGCCCCAGAGGCAGGCAGAAGACCCCAGGCCCAGGGCAGACCCCATCACGTGTACACACCTGAGGTCAACATGCACTAAGACAGCATTCCTGCTCCCACGCAGGGCACGAATCCCCCGGAGGACCCCTCCCACCCAGGGCAGGGCAGCGCAGGCTGGTGCAAAGGCGAAGCACGCAGGTCTTGGGGCCAAACCAGCGGCTGAGTGACCTTGGACCTGGGTGACCTGGGACCAGTCACTCCCTTAACTTCTCAGAGCCTCGGTTTCCTCAGCTATAGAAGCAAGCCAAGACCACCTACCCCCTCAGAGGCTGTGACACCCTTGGTAGAGCACAGCCTGGCTCAGAGTCAACCCTCAATACAAGGTGGTGACGCTGATGTTGCTGTTAATAATAGTAATAATAATAACAGCCTGTCCAGGCAGACGTCGAGAGGCCAGGCCTTTGCCACTTCCTCTCTAGAATACCGGTGCCCCCAACCGCACACTGAGGGCTTCCACTCCCTCTAGGATCTCCCTCAATCTGGAGCTTACTAAGGTCACTGCAGCTCAAATGCCACCTCCTCCAGGAAGCCTTCCCCCCTCCTCCCTCCCGAGTACCACTACACAGCCTTCACTTCCCTGTGCCAATGAGCAGTGAGAAGAGGGCTGCGAACAGGACCTAACATTTGCCTGGCGCCCACCAGGTGCCAGCCCAGACTTTTTCTCCTTGAACAACCACAAGTTGTGTCTTCTCAGGTCCATTTTACAGATGGGGGCACTGAGGCTCCAGAGCGTACACAACCCACCTGTGTGTGGCAGAGCGCCCTAGGCGGGGCACCCCGAGGGCAGGGGGCAGGCCCTCGCTCACCACTGGGTACCTCCGTGACCCAGCGTGAATAAGGGGTAGTTTCTCCTGAGCTTGCTCTCAAGCCCTTCCTGCAGCAAAGGCCCCGCACACACCAGCCAACTCCACCCCCAGTCCCCACTTACCTGGCCCATGGGGCCATCTTCAAAGCTAGTTTGCGGTTGATGCAGAAGCCGGCACCCCCAGTGGCGAACCAGAACTGTACCAGTCTCTGGGGGGAGAGGAAGGGAGGGCCAAGGGGTGGGTGAGCCTGGGGTGGGGCGGGTGGGGGCAACAGCCTGGCCACCTCTCACCCCCAGTCAGTACGGCTCCAAAGCTCTTTATTTCACATCTCACTAGAGTCCTTCTGCAGTCTGACATTCTTATGCCCATTTGACAGAGAAAGAAACTGAGGCCCAAAGTCACGTAGCTAATTAAGTTTGATGGCATCACCAATGAGACCCCAATCTGGCTGGGTTCCGGTTAAAGAGGACGTGTGTTGTATCTGTCAGCCTAGCACACCTTACCCCTTTCCCCAGAGAAGTGTCTCTGCCTCAGCCCATGTGGTTCAGCAGGGGCTGCCCAAACAGGGCCCTGCCCCCCTAGGACAGAGGTGGGCAGGTGCCCCAGGAATGAGGATCACAAAGCCACACCCCTTGATGCAGTGATTGGCTCAGCGAGAGGCACATGACTTAGGCCAGCCAATCCGAGTTCTTCCCTCAGCTCTATAGGCTAATTGTGAGAAAGAGATGCTCTCTCCAGGGTCACAAGGCCAGGGACCTATAATCTTGAGGCCACCCACATGGCCACGTCCACTGGCCTCACCACTCCCAACTCCTGGGACCAGGAAAGCTTTTCTGCAAAAGGAGAGAACAAGGCCTCAGAAGGAGTACAGAGAGAAGGACAGACAGGCCTGTGAGCCCCTGAGGCCAGCAAACCACTTGACATCTCAATTACAGGAACCAATAACAGCCCTCTGCAGTTTAAACAACTCTCTGCCTCTGCCCAACATCACCACAACCCTGGGCCTCGCCCCCTCCTCTGGGAGGACCCGGGAATTCACCCTAGATTTCTCTAAAGCTTTTTTTGGGAAGCACTGTACCCTTTCAGCTGCACCATCTCTTAATGGAACGAGTTCCCTGAGGTTACCTTCTCCCAAGTACACAGCTGGTGCTTCATTGATGCATGTTGCATGGTCTGGGTTATCCCCCATGGTGCAGCAGTGAGATGAGCCCTGGGCAGGGAGTTGGGAAGCCTGACTCTGGGGCCCCCGCCTCCTCCACTGCACAGCTGTGCAACCTTGAGACAGTCACCGCCCCTCTCTGGGCCTCAGGTATGTCAACTGTGAACACGTGCTCCAGTTCTGAAAGCCAAAGATGCTACTGGCCTGGGGGTGTGTCCTCCTCCTTAAGACTTCCATGAGCTTACTTCTGGAAACTCTGCCCTCTTAGAGAGAGGTCGGGGCTCAACACGGCAGAATGAATGGGTTCCTGAGGACCTGGCACACAGGAGGTGCCCCATAAGTGCATGTGAATGAATGAATGAGTGCAGGGCCTCTGCTCCCGGATAATTACTGTAACAAAAGCAGTAACAATACAGGCGCTAACCGGGGCACTGACTGTGCCGAGCCCCAGGCTAAGAGCTGTGCCGCAGATGAGGTGAGCCAGGTGTCCAGAAGTGAGGTCACTTGCCTGAGGGCCCAGAGCCGGGAATGACCCCAAAGTGGATGTCTTGCCCCCTTTGCTGGGGGACCCCAGGGTCTCAACAGGCCGGGACACTTTGAGGCAGAGTCCTGGGATCCCACCCACGGTGGGGTGCATGGCACCCAGGCACGTTGCGGGGTGGGGCCTGGGTGTGCCCAGCAGGGCGCTGAGCCTGCCCAGGAACAGGCTGGGAGATGAAGGCTGCGCTGAGTCAGGTCCTGATCACTGACACTCACTCGTGTCTGGTACATGCCACGTCCCTTTCCAAGCACTTGGATAGATGACCTCACTTAATTTCTTCCTTGTGCACAACCACACACACCCTATGAGGTAAGGACTGTTATCACCCATTTCACAGATGAGCAAACTGAGGCACAGAGAGATGGGGTGACTTCAGTCAAGGTCACGAAGCCAGGAGGTGGCAGGGCTGGCGTGTGAACCCAGGGAATCAGGCTCCAGAGTGGAGTTCTCAAGCCCTAAGGCCAGGGCTGCGGTGGGGCGGGAGCCTGGGGGACCTCAGCTCACCCGGAAGCCAGCTCACACACACAGCCCCGGGCCCAGGAGGGTTTAATTAGGGCTCAGAGGCTGATTAGCTGCTGATAATTAAGGCTTGGTGTTCCCTGCTCTTGATTTTCCTAATGAAGCAGATGGTGGCCGAGGGAGGGAGAGAAACCCACAGCGGGCCGGCTCTTGCTCCAGGCACTGCCTCGAGAGAGGGGGGCTCCCTAACTTGCCCTTTCCCTGGGCCAAGGGAGCCCCGGGGGCCTGGGCCACCCCAACACCAGAAGCCTGGGGGGCCCTGGGGACCGGGGGAGAACCTGAAACATATTTATACTAAAAAATTCTTCACTGTTTATCTGAAAATCAAATGTAACTGATATCCTCCTTTTTTGTTTATTTGTTTTCTAAATCTGGCAACCCTAATCAGTGTCCATTCAGGTCTGGAGCTGAAGCGGGCTCTGGGCCCCTGTTGTGCCCCGTGTCCACTCTCCAGCTGCTGGTTAGTGAGGCGGAGAGAGGACGGTCCTAGGCGACAGGAGTGTTCGGGGACACCGGGCGGCGGCATTTACATCTGGCCCAGCAGTACTCAACCTGCACAACTGCATGAGCATACAGGTAGCTGAGAGCCCTGCCTGTGGGACCAGGACAAGCCACTGCTCTTCGGTGACGGAGGCCCTACTATGTGCCAGCTTCTGTGCCTTACCTGCTTCATTTCAGTCTCCCCATTTCAGAGAGAAGGAGACTGAGGATCAGAGGCAAAGCCACGGGCCAAACGCACAGAAATGAGGCCAAACGCGAAACACAAAAACCCGGCCCCGCCCTGGCCCCGCCCCGGTGCGCCCCCCGCCCCGGTGCGCCCCCCGCCCCGGTGCGCCCCCCGCCCCGCCCTACGCCTGGCCCCGCCCCAGGCTGACCCTGCCCCGGACTGACCCCGCCCCGCCGCCGGACTGGTCCCGCCCCTCATGGCCCCGCCCCTCATGGCCCCGCCCCTGGGGCAGCTGTCCGGGGGCGGAGGAGGAGCGGAGGGACCCACCGTGCGGTTGCGGGGTCGCGGCTCGGAGGCGTGGATGGGCCGGTTCAGGCTGGGCCGGCCGATATAGACGTCGCGGGTCCTCGGGAAGGCTTTTAGCAGCTTCAGCAGCGCCCGCGCGTTCACGTAGTTGTCGTCGTCCACGTGGCAAAACCACCTGTGGGGATGGAAGGGGGGATAGTGAGCTTGGAGGGGGTTCCCCTGTGCCCCCATAGTCAGTCAACAAACAGTTGCAGGGTGGGGGTGAGGGGGGGCCTAACGTTTAAGGTACCTGTTAAGTGCCGGGTAGCATCTCGTGTAAGCTTGTAAGGAAGGTGTGCCCACTTAATAGGTGGGGTTCAAGATTCAGAGAGGTAAAGACACTTGTGCAAGGTCACACAGCCAGTGAATGACAGGACTTGAAGGCCTGCCCAGCCCACTGAACCCTGCCTGCCAGGGGGATGGGTCGTTGGAGTCCCGAGGCCCTACATGATTAAATTCATGGGACCCAGAGAACTTCCCTTTTTGACACGGCACCCCATTCAGGAACTGGCCTGAGGCAAAGGTCACGCCTACCCCAAGAGACCCAAGCATGCTCACCTCAGCCCGCTGGCCAAGAAGGCATCAAACTCGGCAGCCATCTTGCAGGACAGGGCGGGGTGGCTGTGCTCTGCAGAGCAGTTGGTGACCACAAGGTGGGACCCTGGCGAGGGGAGGACAAGTCAGGGGCCCCTGCCCAGCCCTGCCCACAGTGAGAATGCAGAGCAGGGCTCACAGACAGCCACGTGTCCAGGGTCTTGTCCAGCACAGCCCCTCCCCACACTCACACCCGTTTCCAGGGACAAAGCTGCCCCTCCTGGGCGAAGGGGAATCCCCACATGCCAAGGTGGACAGCCCTGTTTCCTAGGGACCCCCAGGCCAGGGGACAGCCACCCCAGCTTTCCCCAGTGACAGCCGAGAGGGCCCCCCACACCAGAGTTACCCAGTCTCTCCTGGAGGCCTTCGTCCGGGCTGTCTGTGAAGATGAACGTCTGGGAAGGAGAGAGGCGTCAGGACCCCTGCGGGCCCAGGGCAGCCCACTGCCCCCCACAGCCACGCCCCCGGGGGCCACCCATCCCACCCTCTGTCCTCCTTCAGGGACGGACACACAGCCCCTCGCAGTCACACACTCCTTTAGGACAACATGACTTTCTGCGCTACCCTCCCCCCAAACGACACACACAACCGGCTTCTGTAGACACACAGCTTCACTGTGTCCACCAGCTCAGCAGCCTCGCTCGCACGCGGCCCCTACACACCAGCTCCCCCAGGACCCTGCCGGGCACACACCCTGCACACACCCTCTTCTATCTCACACACACATCGCAGTCCTGCTTGGCCCTCCACAGTCACATATTCACAACCCTAGACGCTGCATCGGGAGACAGGCTGTGTGGACAGACCCACGCGCCGGATGCCGCACCACTTAGGGAGACAGTCCCAACCCCCACGGCCACACAGACTCCCGTGCAAGTGCGGGGGCCCTGATGCGTCTCAGAAAATTTACATCGCAACCCGCTGCAGCTCTCCCGGACTGGAGCTGCTCCCGCCGGGAGCTTTCACGCGCCCTGGCCCCGATGACCTCGCTGGACCTCGAGGCAGGTGCTGTGCTCTGTCCCCTCACAGATGGCAAACGGAGGCTAAGTGACACACGGAAGCTGTGGAGTGAGCAAGTGCCGAGCTGGGATTCGAACCTACGGGCCTCAGACCTCGGCTCGCCACCTCCCCAGGCGGGTGGGAGCCACTGCACACCTTAAGTAAACTGAACACACACTCTGAAGAGAGACAGGACAACCCTCAGAGGCGGCACGTGGAGGATGGAGACGTGCCAGCCGGGTACTGGTCCCACACCCGCTCCACGCCCGGCCCAGCGAGTGCAGAGGCTCCCCCTCCGGAGCAGGTCCCACCGTCCACCGACCACATCCAGGGCCTCCTCTGACCCCTAGGCTGCCCTGCCCAGGGCCTGGGGCAATTTTGACCCCCCTTCCAAGGGAGGACCAAGGAGAAAGGACCCCACCTGTTTAAGCCCCCGACACCCCATCCGCCACTCCGGCCGCCCCGCCCTCGCCCCGTCCTCCCTCCAGGCTCTGGGTCTCCGACCGCAATGCCCCTCCCTGCTCATCCACAGGCCTCTCCCTCCTTTCCAGAAATCAGTCCTTCAGATCCGAACAGCCTCTGCCTTCAGCCTCAGTTTACCCGTCTGTAAAATGGGGAATTGTGGTAGCTGTGACACAAAGCGAGATAATGTGTGAAAGAAGAGGGAAGGGTCGGCAGTGAAGCTAGGCTGAGTTTCTTGTATATCAGGGTAAACAGAGGCACAAGAGGCCTGAAGCCACAGCTGGGCACAGGAAGAGGCAGAGGGAACCAGGCCCGTCTCCCCACGGAGAGCCGCTGTTATCTCTCAGTGGATTATTGCAAGACCTTGCCTCATTCCTTCAGATCTGTTTTCCTGTCAGAACCAGAATCAGATAATACACATACCCACCACCCCCGCTAACACCTTCTGTGGCTCCCTGCTGCCCTTAGGATTAAGGCCAGTCTCCCAAGTGTGCCCCATGAGGAGCCACCTGGCCCCTGCGCCGGATGCAGCCTTTCTCATCACTTCCTGCCTCACCCCTAGGGCTGCTCTTAAACCTGAAGTTCTTTCAGTTCCCCAAGTATGCCACGTAGACATCCCTCCAAGCCTTTGCACATGCTGTGCCCTCTTCTCGCCCCTTAACTCCCAGCTCAGTCATCACCTCCTCCAGGAAGCCTTCCCTGACACCCCTTCCATGTGCCCCGCGGCCTCCAGTCCCTCCTGATGGTAACAGCAACCCCTCGGTTATGCAAATCTATCCCCGGTCTCTCCCACCACACAGTGCCATGCTGGAGGGCACAGGCCTGTCTGAACCATCTCCCTGTCCTGGCACCTGGCTTGCCCATGCAAGGCCTGGGCAGCGTGCACCTTCTGAGCCTCTCTCCCTGGGGTCTGTCTCCATCAGATTTGGCTAAGACTTGGGGTCCCTGAGTCTCCCTGGGGAAAGTGTTGGTGGCCCAATCCCAGCCCCTGGTCCTCTTTTCCATCCCATCCACTCCCTCGGTGATGCCATCCAGCCTCTCAGCTTCAAACCCCCTCAAGAAGCCATAGAGTCGCCTGTGCGCCCCTCCAACCTGGCCTCTCCCTGGCTCTCAGATCCCCCTGCAGCCGTGACTTCTCCCCGGGGGCCCAGTGGGCGCCTCGGCGTCAGTGCATCAAGACTGATGCCCGAACGCCCCCAGACCCACCCTTCCCTCGGTCTTCACCATCTTGCTGGGACCCAACCCCTGGGGATCACCGTGTCCCCTCTCTTTCTCTCGCACCCACACCCAGCCTGTCAGCAAATTCCCCCCAACCTCCAAACCACCCGGGACGCGACCTCTCCCCTCCAGCCTCCAGAGCCGCCCCGTGGTCCAGCCCCCTCGTCACCTCCTGCCTGCTTTCCTGCAGTCACCTCTGCCCCGGCCCCGTCTGTTTTCAACACCACCCCCGAGGGACCCTGAAAAATAAGGCAGGCCTTTTTTGCCCTGCTCCCTGGCAAACTTCTGCCACCAAACAGCCACCAGAGAGTGGAACTCTCTCGAGTTTGGAGCATGCACGGGCCAAACGGGCCAAGGAGTAAGCCCAAAGTAATTGGGGTGCGGGGGGGGAGTCCTGCAGTAGGGCCCAGGCTGGTATTCTGTCCCTGGGAGCCCGAGCTGGGCACAGAGCCGCGGGCAGGTTCCTCTGAGCCTAGGGCCGCACTTAATTTGTTTAGGGAGGGGCTCCTGACGAGGGTGAAACCCCACAGGAAACAAAGGCAGCCTGCTGGGGTCAGGGGACCTGGTGGCCAGGACCATCTGCTGCGGGGTGTGGGGGGAAGGGGGAACACAGTGCTGCTCCCTCAGCCCTCGAGGGGGCTGTAGGGAAGAGAAAGGCTCCCCATGGACCACAGAACATGCCTCCCCCGCCCACCCCTCGCCTGGGACAAAGGCCAGCATGTGAGCCCCAGCCCGCGGCCACAAAGGCCCACCTGCCACCAGGCGCCCTTAACCAGCTGGGGCCGGCGCCCGGCCCTGAGTTAACCAGCTCGGGCCCGCTCCTGCTGGCTGAGCTGAGAGGGGCTCCCAGACCCTCCTGTCCTGTGCAGATGGGGAAACTGAGGGCCAAAAGGGGGAGGGCCTGGGCCTGAGCCAAGGTCACAGAGAGAGAGAAGCCAAAGGTGGAAGCGAAGGGGGCTCAGATGCGGGGGCAAGAGTGGGCCTCCCTCTCTCCCGTCCTCCTCCTCTATCTGAGCATCCTTCCTTCTTTCAACTCTGCCTCAAAGGACGAGATTTCTAGACTCCGCCCCTTGCACCCAGGTCCAGCTGAGTGACTTCACCTCCCTGCTCTGCTTAACTGTGCTCAGGTTCCCCACCTGTAAAATGGGAACGTGTACTGCTCCCTGCCCCTGATCCCAGGGCTGTTGTGAGGGTTCCAGAGGCCACGAGTCCGTCACACAGCCCTCAGACACTGCGCAGGCAGGCGCCCCCGCCGGCTGCCTGGCCGGCATCTGGGATTGAGCTCGGGGCGCTGAGGGGCGGCCGCCCGCCTCTCCTCTCCAGCCTGGTCCTGCCACGCCCCGCCACCCAGGCTGGAGGCCCAAGGACCCTCTCCTGTGCCCCACTGACCCGAGCAGCTCTGGGGGCCGGGGCTCGGCAACGAGGAGGGGCGGGTCCCACTGGGCTCTGCCCCATCAGGCCTCTGGGGTGACGCTGGCCAGCACTTCCTCCTCCTTGTCCTCAGTTCCCTCATCCGGGGCAAGGGCACCACCATGGAGATCAAGACGGGACAGGAAAGGGCCTCAGACCACGTGAGGCCGTGCTCCGGTACACACAGACACGGCGCCACAAACAGGAAGGTCTGTGGGGAGGGCCAGGCTCAGCGGCTTCCGAGGGCGGAACCAGAGTGTCCCCAAGATGAGAGGCTGTGCAGGGCCCCCGGGAAGAGCCTGGGGTGCTGCGGGCCCAGTGGGGAAAGGGTTAATCGGGGGTGCTAGGACCTCAGGGCAGGAAAGTGGGGCAGGGGTCCCCTCTCCCCAGGGGGCCCTGGCGTCCTCCAGACGTCACATCCCCGCCTCCTTGGTCTCCTAGGAGCCCCTGACCTCCTCCGGAGGCTCAGTCACTTCCTCCCACTGAGCCAACCGCCAAAGTGGGGACAGCGTATGTGTGTGTGTGTGTGTGTGTGTGTGTGAGTAAACCTGCCCCTCCACCTCCCCAGAGATGGTCCCCAACACCCCCGTCACCGACTGCTTGGGGAGGGCACAGGCTGTGGGGAGAGGAAGAGCCTCTGGAAGGGACCCCGCTTGTCCGAGCTGCCTCCCCGGAAAGACAGAAGCCACAAGCCCCTGTCACCCACAAGCCTCTTGTCAAGCACGTCTGACACTGACACTTTGGCTCACACACACACCGTCCCACATGCCAGGGGGGCCTCTACCCTGACCTCTCGCCCACAATGGCCTCAGCCCCCGCCATCACCGCACATACTCTCTCTGCCTCCCTAGAAAAATGCCCCCAGGAAATGAGCACGGGAGGTGAGTGCCGCTCCCCCAGCACAGCCTGGGCAGAAGGCCTGGGGGCAGGGCCATCACGAATTCTGAAAGGATGCCCCCTCCCCGGGCCCTCTCCCTGACCAGGCCCCACCTAGACGGTCCCCTCCTCTGTCGCTCAGCCCCTGGTTTCCATCCGCACAGCCAGGGCAGCAGGACAGCACCCAGGGCCTGGGGCAGAGTCAGGACCTCTCACAGCCTCTGCCTCAGCTGCCTGACACCCACCACTGCCCCCATGCCAGGCTGGGCCAGGGCAGGCAGAACAAAGCCTGTGCTGGAACAGCCATGGAACAGAGGGACCCGCAGGAGGGACCCAGGAGCCCGGGGCAGGGCCCAGCCTGGCCCCTGAAAGAGACAGAGCAGTGGGCCTGAGAAGCACCTGGCTTCAGGGCCAGCGAGGGCACGGTCAGGGCCACAGGAGCCCCCAGGCCTGGGAGGAAGGAGGAGCGGGCAGGTGGGCAGGCAGCTTCTCCCTCGAGGCCCCCAGGGACCCCAGCCCAGTAGAAAGCCAGGGGCCACTCCCCAGGCCCCCAGTCGCCTGCTTGTCACCTGTTCCCGGGTCCTGGAGACCCACGTGTCAAGCAGCAGCTCCAGGCGGGAGCGGTGGAAGGCCCGGGTCGTCTTGACCGCGATGAAGACATCGTGCAGCTGCAGCTCAGGGGGCCGAGAGCTCGGCGGGCCCGGCTCGGGGGTCTCCTGCACGCCCTGAGGGGACAGGCTCGAGTGGTACCGCAGGGAGAGGAGCCCCATGCACAGAAGGGTGAGGAGGGCTCCGGCCAGGCCCCGGAGGAGCCGGCACTGCATCGGCCCTGGGACCCCAGACGGCTCAGCCCCCAAATCCCAACCGGACAGGGAGGGGAGGCTGGTCAGGCGGGGGCCCCGGCAAAGGCAAAAGTCTGGAGGGCATCGGGGACAGGCAAGGAAGGGAGCGGTGGGAGGTGGTGCTCTGGACCGGGAGGCCCAGCCGCCGGCGCCGCCAGCCTTCCACCTGCTCCGGGCCCTCCCAACGGCGCTGGGTCGCCTGGCCCCGCCCCCGCCTCCAGCGCAGCCCGAGGGGCGGGGCGCCCCTAGGGAGCCCCAGAGGTGGCTGAGAAGGAGGCACAGCCCCGGCTCTGCCAGCTGCTGCGGGGGTGGGGGCAGCCAGCCCTCCGTGCCCGGATGGAAGCGAGGGCCTCCCGCCTGCCCGCTCCCCAGACTCCGCTCAGCTCATTCAGCGCCCATCCGTGTTTGGCAGTACCCTGGTATCCAGCCTCCCAGCCTTTGCTCCACTGTTCCCCATCCAGGATGCTCTCCCCCGTCCCCTGCCATCCTCGCCACGTTCCCTCCACCAGGCTTAATTCTATTTGGACTTTAAGGCTCAGCTCAAGGATTCTCTCCTCCAGGAAGCCTTCCCTGGTGTCCCCCCCCCCCCCCAAGCTCTGGGGCTCCCACAGTAGCCTGCTCAGTTCCTTTGGTCTTCACAACAGTGCTAGAATCGTGATTCCCGGTTTACAACTGAGCACACGAGGCCCAGAAGGATCTAAGATGATCCAGCAGCTCACGAGAGCCAGGAGGAACCCAGGTCTCTGGCCCGCAGAGGCCCCTGAAGGCACCTGTCCTGCTGTGGCCGGCTGTACCCACTCTCACTCAACAGTCTTTATTGCTGCCTATCTCCCAGCCAGGCCAGTGGACAGACAGAAGCCTTCTCCAGCCACCACCTCTGCCTTGTTTTGCATAAGTCACTCCTGTCTCGACCTTCCTCCACCAGAACCTGCACTGACTGCCATTTCCCTGGAGCAAAAGCCAAAGTTCACACACCAGCCTCCAGGCCCTGTGTGAGTTGGGCCCCCTGTCACCTCCAACCCCACCTCCCACTTCTCTCTCCTTGCTCCCTCCACTCCAGACGCACTAGGCTTCTGACCAGTCCAGGCACATATCCACCTCAGGACCTTTGCACACGCTGTTTCTGCCCGGGCCTCTCTCTAGAGAGAGACACACATCTCACTCCCTCACCTCCTTCAGGTCTTTAGACAAATGTCATCTTCTCCATGAGGCCTTCCTGGACCACTTTATTTAAATTGCAATCCCTTCTCCCCTCTCCTTCCAGTCCTCAGGCCTGTCCCTCCCAGGCCCCCTTTTCTGTGGTGTTCTCTCCATAGCACTTCATCTTCCAACCCTGTACATTTTACTTATTTATTGTCTGTCTTCCTTGAGAATCCCAGGGCAGGAATTTCTTCTTTTCATTCACTGCATCCCCAGTGCCTAGGTCAGTGCCTGGCACACAGAAGGAGCTCAATAAAATTTGTTAGTTCAACACAACAAAGTACCAAGTGGCTGGTGATTGAACGGGGCCGCTGAGGCCCAACCCTGCATTAGGACCGTGGAGGGAGAGGAAAGGGAAACCACCTCTTTGAGTCACCCTCCTTTGGGCCAGCCCCGTGCCAGGCCCCTTCACTGCCCGCCTTCTCAGAACAGCATCCCCAAGGGAGGAGCCCAGGCTTTGTGCCACACAGACCAAGGTTCAGATCCTGACTGGACCCCTTCCTAGCTGTGTGACTCTGGGCAAGTTTCTTCACTTCTCTGAACTTTACTTTCATCATTTGTAAAATAGGGACAAAAATAAGACTTGGTGAGGATTAAAGGATGAGTGGGCTTCTCCGCCCCAGGGAAAGGACACCCAAAATGGGACCAGACAAAGGCAGCTGAGCCACGGGGCTCCCACATCTTCACCCAGACCAAGCACTGGGCCAGGCACATGGCAAGGAGGGGGAGGTCCGTTTACCCAAATGAGCATGACCTGGTCTCCACACCCAGGAGCCCACAGCCACCCGGAAACCCTCCACCCTGCCAGAAGGCAGAGTCCAAGGGCGGGGAGAACCAGGTGGGCTTCACGGAGACAGCGTCTGAGCCGGACCTCAGGGCACAGTGGGATGTGAGCAGCCCTGCCCAGACGTGGACGTCCCAGCCTCACTTCCCACCACTCCCTGGGGGCCAAACTCAACCCACTGTTTGCCTCTGAGCCTTTGCTCTTGAGGTTCCCTCCACCTAGTGCACTCACTCCCCCAAAATTCCCAGGGGCCTGTCCAAGCTCATCACTGTGACCAAGGACAGTCAGAAGGACCAAGGACAACACACAGGCACACAGGCCCAAGAAATGCTTCTTGAAGAAAGGAATCCCAAACCCCAAGCTCAAGTGGCACCTCCTCCAATAAGCATGCCTGGATTTCTCCCAGGGGAGGTGACCATCCTCTCTCTGATGGGGCTGTCTCAGGGCCCTTTATGCACACTGACGGTTTGTTCTTGGTCTCCTGGACTCAGCAACCGGGCCCCTTAAGCTTAAGACCACACCCTGCTGGCCCCAATGTCATTGCTCCAGGGGACACTCCTTTGATGATCAGACACAGGCAGGGCTGAGCACGTTGGGGGGGGCATCCATGAGGCCCTCCTCCGGTCACTCGGGGGGCGGGTAAGGTGACGCCAGCACAGATGGCTGGCGGCTCTGGGATGAGTCAGGAGTGAAATCCGACCCTCCCAACGGGCGAGTGGGGACCTGAAAGGTAGCATCAGGCTGAGCTGGGAGTGGGGACAAGTGGGGCGGGGGGGGAGTAGGGACCGAGGCCAGGGATGCAGGCAAGCAAAAGGCCACCAGCTTCTCTCACAAGCTCTTTAATGTTCCATAATGTGCAGCTTCTCAGTGAAAAAGGCCCATGAACATCCACGAGCCGTACATTCTGGTGACGGAGCAGCCGGCCCCCACCTGTCCCTCTGAGGGTGGGCAGGGCAGGGCACGGGTGCTGTGAGAACACGGTCCTGGGTGTGTTCACGGGGAACACACGCGTGTGAGTGCCCAAGTGTCACGGGGTGGGGGCATGACATTTACACAGGAGACAACCATGGACATGCGTGACTGAAAGACACGAAGGGCACAGGGGACAGTGGACCAGGGAAGCCACAAGGCCCACGTGTGGAGGTACACACAGGAAACGGGAGCTGGACGGCAGGAGTCACGCGTGACGGGCTCGGGGCTCCTGAAAGCAGAGCAGGCTGAGAACCTGGGAAACTCACGTGCCCCGCGGTGGGGACAGAATGTGGGCCTGACCCGTGAGAACTTGGGTGTGCAAACCTGTGCATGGGGCTGAGAACTCAAATGCTCCGGGCGAGCAATGAGGGAGAGGACACAGACACACGCGTGAGACCCCCGAGGGGGAACACGGAGACACAGGGGCACACGGGAGGGCCCAGAGCAGCAAGGACGGTGAGGGACGCTCTGGCCCAGGGCGCCCGCTGGCTCACTTGGGGAGAGAACGCGAGCCGAGGGCCCCATCCGAGAGTCCAAGGGCCTCAGGAAGGCTCAGGATGGGGAGGATCTGGCTCCAGTGAAGACACGAGGGCCCCGCGGGCAGCTTCTGAAGTGCGTGAGGAAGCCACGGGCATCGGGGGGCCTCAGGCCTCGCTGCTGCTGCTGCTGCCGCCTCTGCCACTGCCGTGCTCCACCCACACGAGGCGGGCCTGCTCCTGCAGGATGCGGCCGCGCACCACCTTGGCTAGCTCCTCCGAGTGGCCCCAGGCGTGCGCGGGCACCTGCACCCAGGAGCAGGGCAGCCCCCAGAGCGCCTGCTCGGAGCCCCGGCACTGCCGAAGCAGCTCCGAGTCCCGCCAGCCGGGCCGGCCCAGCAGCCCCCTGCCGAGAGAAGAGCGGGGGGCAGCGGTCACGGCAGGGATGAAGATGGACAGAGGGACAGACAGGGACAGATTAAGACATGAGAGTCCAAGAGAGAGGATGGATGGGGAGACAAAACGAGACAGATGGCAAATAGTGAGACGGAGGAGAGAGAGGACAGGGACAGGCGCAGAGAGGAGGAGCCCCGGGTCCCCCAGCCCCCAGCCCGCCTCACCTGACTTCCCGCACATTCTTCTCAGTCACCTCCACGTGGATGACAATGGGGTAGATGTCGTTCTGAACCAGCTCCCGCACACCCCGCACGCCCAGCTCCAACAGACAGTGCTTCTTCTCGGGGTTCAAGGCCACATTTTACGCCCAGCCCAGAGACACTAAGCTCCCTGACCCCTGACCGGGCCCCACAGCACAGCCCCCTACGGGGTCCTGCTTCCCCATCCAGGGGACCTTGGCAGTGAGGAAGGAACAGGAAGGGAAGGCGGGAGACCTTGGGAAACAAGTCACTTCCCGCCTCTGGACCTTGGTCTGCCCACCTGTGGGATGGGGCGAACCACCCCCCGCCCACCCCTGCAGCCCCCAGCCAGCTCCCAGGGCAGTGGTGAGTTTGAGGACAAGGACAAACAGGTGAGATGTATCAGGGGTTACCCACGTGCAGGTGACTGCCCGGCCCACCCATGTCCCAGGGAAGGGAGCCGACCAGTCACTGCAAGTGAGCAGCACAGGCCTGCACAGACTGCGGCTCTAAGGCCCAGAGGGCAGCCCCCCGCCCCGCACCTACCTTCCCGACAGACTCCTGGATGGCACGGATCCTGTTGCC